GGTTCAAAAAGTTTTGTAGGTACAACCAAAGAGGCCTACTCTTAGCACCTCCTTCTATTTCATGTTAGAGAACCACCTTAAAAACAATGGAAAGGGATAGGTGTTACTACAGCCTTTATTACCACACCTCAGATCTCCTTTGCTGTAGCTACTCAGAAGCCCCGGACAGCTATGCCGTACCACTGGGAACCTTGTGACCAGGGAGTCAGAGCAGCAGGATTTTATTCCCATGCAGTGCAAAAACATCCCTCATGGAGCCCTGAAATCCAGAATTGGAATGTGACGTGATCTCCCAGTCTGCTTGCCCCTTCTCACTCAGCCCCTGTCTGAGACTAAAGAAAGAGGTGTCAGAAAATGATGACTGAAATTCCTACCATCTTTCTTCTGCTTTGCTTTGCCACAGATTTCTGCAGAGCCACTTTTAGGCATGCAATTAAAAACGATGCTAGCAGGTTTTTCTGACTGGGTCCAGATGTGTAAGAAGTGGTTCTGAACTCAGCTCTTGACCGAGTACAGACATAGCTGCAGAATAACATAAACTATTATAGTTTAAGGTACAACGAGTAAAAACCTATTCCTATAAACTTACCCAGGCGCTAATATCGCTCTTGAAAAACACTTGAGAGGCTTTCTTCTACTTTAAAACACTGCTGTCGGCTCACTCTCCTTAATAAGGGCCATTATCTCTGAAATGTGTAAATGGGACCTACAAGTTGTATTAAGAAATAAATTCTATTTACTCCGACACTTTTTCTTTATATAATGCAAAAGCCTTTATTGCTTTGGTATGATTCCCTATCGCTGGAGCTCTTTTCTGTTGACTGAGTGAATTAGAAATCAATGACCAGATTTTTTTATTCTTCCATTTATGTGCTAGTGATTTAGGCTGTTGTGTTCCTTTACTGTTAATGGGGTTTAGAAGCAGAAGACCCCTTCATCTCCCAAGAACTGTTAACTCAAAGTCTTAGCCTAGAATTGCAAATATATACTATGTTACAGCAAACAAAATCTGTTTAGAAATTCCGTATCATCATCTACATCCGATCCCAAATCACAGGGGTTGCAAATACTAATAAAGCAGGAAAAAAATAAAACAAAAGTAGAGGAAAAAGCAGCTAGCCTACACAGAGTGCGGTATTGACTGGCATGTTGTAAAAAGAAAAAAAAAAAAAAAAAACAACAACCCACCACATAAGTTTCTAAATGACACAGTTTGTTCCAACCCATTTAACCTACACAAAATGCCAGATACACATGAACAGCAGGATTTGCAAACAATACAGACAGCTCTGCCAGCAAGTCTCAGGAAATCACACAATATCTGTCTCAATAGAGTTGGTCTCACAGCAATACAAATTTCAGAAGGTAAAACAAAAATGAAGTCAGATTGCACTGCTAAACATTTTCAGTCTGGTTTCCTTTACCCTGTTCTTTTTAGCAAACTTATTTACTATATATACATATTTATTTTTTAACTACTCTGGTGCTATTTGCTATTCCTTTTTGCACTAAAATTTACCACAGGTGGATAATGTATTTCTTCAAAATCCCACATGACTTTATCAAGCCTCTGTACTGCCTCATCAGTCTTCCAACACATTGCTGGGCTGCAAGATGAAAGACTTACTTTGCTCTTTTAAGAACAAGTGTACTCAAGAAGACTCAGAAGAATTAACTGCCTAGCCATCCTCCATTAACAAGCTTAAAAATTTTTCTTTGTATAGTCTACAGTTATGAATGTATATGGGTTATCAAAAGACAGAAAACCCATTTGCAAATATTCCACTTACATTATGAAACATTTTCTGTAACTGTAGCTAAAGAAATGCATTAACTATGTATAAAGCCTAAGGGTAAAAAAAGTGTAGTCTTTTTCCTTAAAAATACTTTAACTGCAACAAGTAATACTGAATTATAGATAATGCTGCTGAGAATTAGTCAAAAGAAATTTTATAATAAAATCCCTGAATTTAAAGTTCTGCCTATTCAAATAAATACAAGTCAAATTTTAAAATGGATTTGCTTAATCCTGTTCTAATTTCCTGATACAACTGTGCCCTGGTTCTGTTAAAGTTGACGGTTTAGGATTAATTTAGTCAACGACACTTCATATGTATTCAGGCACACCCACTTTGTAACACTGTATTTGATTACGTCTGAACACTACTACCTTTACAGTGTTCAAGGAGTGTTGACATCTCTTATAACTTGTTAAAGAAAAATTAGTTCCAAGATATTCTGTAGCAAGCAAAGCAAGGGAAGTATGACTTAAAATACGTTTAAATTGTGTCTCCATCCAGTCCTGCTACCAGAGGATAAAAAAAAGTTTGAGAGTGTTACAGTAGAAAGAACAAGACTAGTGTGACCAACTTCTTTCTCTCTCATTAATGCTAGAAAACAGGATACATTTGGGTCCATGGCTCACAGCACCCTAGGATAATGGGCTCCCAGCAGCTTCGTGCTTTACTATCTTTAATGTTACCAGGTAACATCTCCTGTAAGGCTTGCTAATGTTGATACACTTACTCCAGATAAAGCACAGCACAAAGAACAAAAGAAAACCTTTCTTTGAAAGGCCTTGAGAAAGCCATATATTTAAATTATGTCAGAGAATCCTTCTGTGGCACCAGTTACTTGAAAGTCACACTTCCCTCCAGAACAAGCCTCAGTGAAAGGAAATGTAGACAGAGCTCAGGATACACATCTCAAACGATGGCACACAGAAATATTTCTCCATCCAGTCTTTAGATAACAAAATGCAAGATGAGGGGATGTTGCCCTTAAGCCAAGACATACACATTGACTGGGTGGAAGAAGCTATGTAAGTTAGGGAAAAAAAGAAAATAGCATGAAAGAATCAAATCTTTATTATTAACGAAGAATAAGGTGTTACCATAGCTTAAGGTCGCATATGACAAAACAATCTTCAGTTAATGCCACGTCCATCACGTACTGACAGAATCAAAATTAGAACATAATATTGTTCATATTTTCTTTCTTTAAAACCATTTGTAGAATTGCAATTTGCAACATGCTCAAAGACCAAGTTCCACACAGGCCCAGCAGGCTCTGTCACTCAGGGTCTGGAATGAGAGCAGTCAGGGGACACTGGGGTCAAATGAACTCCTAATATCAGGTGAGGAAAAAGGATTTGGTAGAACCTGCAATATCTTTTAAGTGATGTTTATTTAAAAAATCATTTAAAAAACAACACAGGGAATCTGATAAAAGAAACTAGAATAAGCATGGTGTTCCCACATACTTCAAGTCTTCATCTATCCAGCAGAGTTTCTGTTTGTAGAATGAACATTTTATTAAGAATATAACCTACCACAAGAAAATGGCAAAAAAATGGCAGTATCAGAATAAGATACATTGGCAGAGGGAGGGGGGGGGGATAAAAAAAACAAACCTCTGTGCAGGGAGGGAGGGGGACAGAAAGCTAACCTTTATCAAGCAACATCCTTCTATCTGTTTAGAACAACTTTCTTCCATAAAACTTGACAAAGCTAGTGTGCCAATATAAAAAGCAAGTAGCTTTTTTTGAACTCAACAAACCTATATAAAGCTGATATTTAATTACCTGCTCAATATCTGATAATTTTACATGTGCAACACCATATCTGTCCATTTTAGAACATAATCTTCCCAAGGGAAGAGCTGGTGTAATGCACTATGCAATTTTTCACCCTGAAAGTCATTAGTATAATAAAATAAAAGTTAAAAAAAAGTTGAAAAAAAGCTATGTTTACAGCCAAAATAAATAAGAAAACAATGAAAAGATTATGCTAATACTTCCCAAAATAAGAACACACTCAATGAAGGTCTTGAACACTGTCTTGAAAGTCAAACCAACTTTGAAATCATACACAACAAAAATTTTAAAAGCAGCACCATTAAATCTTTGTGAGGACCCTGATAATTTGCTCTGTTTATCTGTTTTTCTCCATTTTAGATGCAGCATACATACTTTACCAGGAATCATTTCCAAAAAAGGCAAAAGTTAAACAATTATGAAAATCACCTGCATAAAAAAATAAATGAAAGGAAACAAAGCATGTATAGTGCCAGGAAAAAAAAACAAAACAAAACAAACCACAAAACTGATCTTGGGCAAAACTGATCCTAGGCTACAAAGCATACCTGAAAAAGCTAATCACAGAAATTCTAGAACAGGGAGATACTTAATTGAGGAATCCAGATAGATGAACTCTCACAAATCTTGCCAGAACAGTACTTCAGACTATTTCTTCCCCCATTCCTCTTTCCTGCCTTTCTGCAGAATGTTAAACCCATCCCTATAGGAAAGCTGGCAGCTCCATTTCATAGGTCTGCATCCCCACCTAAATCCACCCTCATCCCCAGTTTGAGCTAAGACACAAAGCTTTATGAAGAGACAGGGGCACACATGGCCTTAAGCTTATTCTGCTACGGGGACAGGAACATAACAGACTGGAAGGCTAACAGTGGGATTTGTAGGGCCATAACTATTACCTCTCCCAAGATCTCACTGAGCTCACTCCCCATTCACCAGAGCACCCTATGCTGGATTCTAACTTGCATCAATTTAAGTAGTTTGTAAAGTAAGGAGAACCTAATTCTGCCACCTGTTCTCACACTGAACAGCAACTTATTGCTTATGTAGTTGGACAGATTTCAGAGGAATTATATTCAAAGATATGGACACACTCCAATATAAAGATGATAGGTAGAAAATGATAATCTTCTGAAGGACAAATTCTATCTACCTGTTATTATCTACCTATCTTTATATCTCAAGTCTCACTATTTTCTTTGTCTTTGCATTAGGAGTAAGGAAATGTATGAATTCTATATGGAAAGTAAAGTTAGATAGTTAGCATACCTGTCTTTAATAGTTGGTGAAAGTGAAGACAGATTTTTTTATTATTATTAATTAAAATGGAGAACTACCCAAAAAGGTTGGCAGTGCTGGTGTCAAAGACAGATTCAGAAAGCTAAATTTATTTGTAATTACTTACCCGCAAACAGAGATAATCTTTCCTCAGCTCTGCTTCCTTTGCCCATTAGCTTTAGTCAGTGCTTTGTATCTTCTTCTCAGGGACTGGCTGAAAGACAAATTTTGGCACAGTCACCCCAGATATAAAAAAACCAAAACAAATAAAAAAGAAAGTTCTGTCTAGAAGTGTGAAGTCATGTAAGGAAGTATTGACAATTCATCTTATCTTACAAACGCATCAGAAGCATGATATATTTAGAAACATGTCCCTAATGCACTATCATGAATACTGGCCAGAGCTCTGGGGACATAAAACTGATAGTGACACAAGATGAAAGATAAAAAAATGTCAAGGATCATGCAAAATTAATTTATCTTAAACTCTACCATTACTACAATTCGCTAATATGGGTATATTGTTTTCCTCATTTAAATTAAAACATTGCTCCATAGTTTCCTTTCCACCTCAGAAACATTCTCTTTAGACTTCTTTGCTTCAGCTTCATATTTAAACTGTTAGGGGTTTTTTTGGACCAAAAGTGCAAGCTACCAGAAAAGTCATAAGGATGCATAGCATCATATAAAATGAAAACACATTAGAAGTGGAAAATCGTATTCCCCCTCCCCTCATCACACAGTCAGAAAACTAAACAGATAGCCTACTTACAATCCACTTAATCGTTGCTGCTTTACACATCCATTGTAAACCACAGTTTTGCTTAACCTTTCTTTCCCTAAAAAAAAAAATAAAAAAATTAGTGTCTTCCACACATTCCATTCTCAGAGGTCACACCTTTCCCCAATAACACCTTTTCAACATATTACACAAGACATTTCCACTTTTATTTTACATGTTTTCTTTCGTCAGCTCCACTCTATCTTACAGCAACATGATAGTTCTACCCCCACTGATACTTTGCTCTAGGAATTGCTTCCAGGAAACAATCGCACAAGAAGTAGTTATAAGAAAATGCTTAGTGAAGTGGATTTTCAGGGAAGGACTTAAGCAATAGCCCATGACTTGAGTGGAGCTAGTCCCCTCCAAGAGGGCCCATGCCCACAATGCAGGGAGCAGAAGGACCAGGATGCACCCAAGCAGCAGGTTGCCTTTGATTTCCCATACCTGGGACATGGGACTGGGCAAACAGAAAAACCCTCACAGCTCTGTGTTAGCTGTGCACTAATCCCCAACACCACAGCATGGAGAATCTGGGATGAACAGCATGACCTTCACCTTTACCACCACCACATGACTCTGCACATGCTTTTATACAGATTCACATACACACTCATATATGACAAAAATAAACTCAAGAGAAGAACAAACTTTGCTCTAGCAAGACATCTTGGATACAATCGTGATCTTTAACAAAAAAGGTTGGCAGTACCATACCAACCTGGCAAACTAGAAAACACAAGTCAGCAAAAAAGATACAGGGATGGCTACAAAGAGATCCTCAGTTGCTCTTAAAAAAAAATATCAGTCCTTATTTTACAGCAAAGTTTGCTTCCTAAGCTAAAAATTTCAATATCCACTAAAAAAAGGAAGGGGGAAAAAAAAAACCAAAACCCTAAATAAGTTAGCCTGGCCGGACGACAGCTATGGAGAAATATGATGATAGTGTAAATCACAGAGGAGGGAGAGGAATTACACAGCATGACTCTAAGGGGCATAAATGAAAGAGTGGGATGAACTTCGGGAAGAGGGTAGCATAGACCAGAAAACATACATCAGAAAACATTTCTTAACAGCAAGATACAATATAAAGTAGAATATTTTTCCCACAGAAAGGGAAGTTATTTAAGACTAAATTAGATAAGACACTGGAAAGCACAGCAAAGAAAGCATTTCTGAATTGATGAGGTCATGGATGAGAACACTTAATAAATCCTGTCCTTCTCGCTTCTCATGATTAGGTTTCTCAGTAAGATTTCAGTATAACAAACAACCACACAGCGAAAATACGTTCATTTCTTGTTGGGTTCTTGTCTTGAAAAATACCTTGGATTTCATCAGCATTAAGGTTAGAAGTGTCATTCGCATTTGATGCAACAATTACACACTGAACTATTTAAGCAATATTCATAATTTTAATCCCCTATTACTTGTTCTCTGGCCTATTGCTGTAACACAAAATTATCCTTTTAATTCTGGACTTTTATAGCATTTTTATTTCAGGCATTTCAAAGTACTTTACCAACATATGTCTACTATCAACATCTATCAAAATCAATATGGTGTATATATATTATATATATATAATTGCATGTCATTGATCCAGATGTTAGCCCACAATTGCTGAACTGTCCAGCTGCTTAACATGATACATAATTAGCCAGCAACATGATGTCCATGAAATCCTCTGGTGTCGCACATGGCCACAGGAAATTAGAAGATTAAAACTGAGGCCAACAAGGAAAACAAAATTCAGTGTTTCTTTCAGTTTGATGCCTGCAGCATGAGAGATCATGAACCAGCAAAGGTTTAGGAGCAGTGGTAAAACAGGTATTCTCCTACATAACCAAGTATTACAACAGAAAACCCGCTACTGGGTTGTGTTTTGTTTTTCCCCCCCCCCCTATTACTACTATTCTTACAATCTTACTTTAAAGAATACACAACATTCTGCAACTCAGTTCAGAAAGAGATGGGGTAACTCACAAAAAGCAACTGAGAAGAGTTTTGTCCTGTTTTTTTTCTTCCCTCTGAACTCTTAGGTAGAGTTTTCCAAAATGCACAAACAATTCAGGAACATAGCTGAATTTGAAACATGGACGTTTCTCCTCCTGATTAAAAATGTTCTTTTCTATAGGGCAACCAAATAAATATGTATTTTTTAAAAAAGCAGAGTTATTCAAGGCATCCTTTTGATACTGTGGAAATCTTACTATAGGGAATGGTTGAATTATAATATGTTACATTTCTGACTGAAATCCCAGAATTCTCATGATTTATAGTCCTTATTTTAAAGGTCCTACTCTACACTGGGTAGGATCTCACTGTGCACGACACTGTCCGTCAATAACTAAGAGCAGGGAAGAACAGAGAGAAACCACACCACAGCAGCAGGGAAAAGTTAGCACGTTTTCACAAACTGAAAAAACAGTAATTGAGAGAGGATAATATCACGACAATCAATTATCATTCTGACCCCCAAAGAAAAATAATGAACACAAACAGCAGTGTACCAGGAAAGCATATGCTCTCTTAAAGTGTTGAGTGCCATGTCATAAAGCTGAAATAGTGTACCGCAAGGAACAATTCAGCAACGTACGACAAAACATCCAATATGTACCGGAGAATTTAACAGCTGTTTCCTTTCACACCAGTCCACAGTCTCTGCAGGTATTTCATCCAAATTCTCCCTACCTTTTTTTTTTTTTAGCTGCTACATATTTAAAATATTAGTCACTATTCCAGATACTGATACTATTATATCACTCTCAAAGTGCTTATTTATCCCAAGGGATGCAGAAGGGCAAGGCACAGGCCACCTTCCTTCCTCAGGCCAAATGCCAAAAGCAAAGACTTCTGTACAAATGAACACCCACCAACCCCCTTCAACAATGATTATATGTATCGCTGCAATTAAGAAAAACATATCTCTAGCCCCATCCCTATAAAATGTAACAATAAAACAGCACTGAGTTTTAAACCAGAGAACTTTGGGGGTAAAAAAACCGAACCATCTGCCCATGTCTTGGTTGCTCCTGGCTTGGTGTCTAGATTAAATTCAGGTGTGGATTCCCTCTAGGGAATGAGGAGGCAGTTAATGAAGTGATCATTACTGCTTCCCCGTATCCAGGCTCCAGTGCCACAGGACACAACAGTGGTCATTTGGGCTGTGTCTGTCCTTCAAATTCTCTGCAGGCTTGCAGTGATGCATGTACACAGAAGGCTAGCAGAAACACCTGTACCCCAGTCACAGCAGAGGCAATGCCCACTTACTGCAGAATGACAAGACTTCTGAGACCATAATCCATCGCTTCCAAGGAAACGCAATAATAAAATACGTAAGAAAATAATTAATTTTTCCAGTCCACAGCGCCAATCCAACTGCACAAAGATTGCAAGTTTCTGCAAAAAATTGTTCTTCCCTCCTTGGGTGTAATAAAGGTTAAACCAGGAAAGGGGGACAAGAGGAAAGTCTTTTTTCCTTTGCATTTGATAATACACTGCACGTGCTTATTCTAAACATATGAGGTTTCCATGCTTCTTTAAGAGAAAAACATGGTTATCTAAAAAAAAATTTAAAAAAATTTTTAAAAGTCACAAAAACTGTCAGCGAGATTCAGGAACAGGATTAGTACCTGAGGCTATTTCAAAATCATTTATAATTACTTTACAAATATTAAATCAATAGTGTTCTTGTAAACAAAATTTGCTTAATATGTTTTGCTTTCTTCCCAATTACTCTCTCATCTTTTAGAGCTGAAGACTGTACCATCAAAGCTTTATTTCTCACAGTAATGGAGAGGGCTGTTGTAAAATTAGATGGAATAACTGTCTCACCCATCTACAGAATGATTTCACATAACTTTGCTGAACTCCCAAAGCTAGGTTTTGCTCTGTACACGACAGACCTGTATCTTTTAAGCTGTCTGAAGCCCACAGTTAAAACAAAGGGCAGGGTGGCCACTGCTGCTTTATCAGAAGATGGTAAATCATAGAATAGTTTGGGTTGGAAGTGATTTCACATAACTTTGCTGAACTCCCAAAGCTAGGTTTTGCTCTGTACACGACAGACCTGTATCTTTTAAGCTGTCTGAAGCCCACAGTTAAAACAAAGGGCAGGGTGGCCACTGCTGCTTTATCAGAAGATGGTAAATCATAGAATAGTTTGGGTTGGAAGGGACCTCTGAAGGTCATCTAGTCCAACCCCCCTGCCGTGGGCAGGGCAACTAGATCAGGTTGCTCAGAGCCCCGTCCAACCTGGCCTTGAATGTTTAATGTTT